ATTTATTCTCGGAATGTGAACTGTTGGCTGTAAAGGGGGTCGCACACCGGACGAGAAGCGCCGCGCCACGTTTAGGACAACTCCACAGTATTGCGCACCGGACGCGCACTTTCTCATCAGTGTATGGCCAGCAATATTGTTATGTTTAATGACAGAAAATGAAGATAATGTCTGTTCTATGTTATGATTGTACTGTACAATTAAATACAATCGTTGCTGAGTCTGCAGTCTGAAAACTTTACCTCAGATCATCCGTTCACTGAATGAATTGAGAATCTCACCTGATAAATCTAATAACATCAGCAATTGTCATTAAACAGCTGATTTCTGTAAATGAATGCAAAACTAAATGCATATTGCAGCATAGGGCGAAGTCAGGATCCATTAGCAACGATTTGAAACAAAAATAATAATTATTTTTTTATATATAAAACTATGTAAATGGGGCTCTGTGGCGCAGCAGGATTTTGAACACGGTCCTGAGGCGTTGCGGGGTGCCACGGACAGACGCCGAATGGCGCAGCCGGTATGTGTACACTTACAGATAATAATGTGTTCGAATTTTGAAGATGTGGCGCGGCGCTGAGCTTCTCGTCCGGTGTGCGACCCCCTTAACGTTAATTTTGTGAAACTGTAGCTGTGGTTGAATACTTACACGACATGAAAAGATGTGTCAAATGTACATTAAATAGATTTTTTATTTTTATAAAGTTACCAAAAAGAAGGACCAGCCACGTCAACTCCTTGCAAGAGACCTGCCCCTTCAAACCCTCTCCACCATAGCTTCGTCCAGTGACTCGTACAGTAACATCTGTGATAACTAATTTACTTTTAAACCTGACTTTTCTTGCGCAGTTATTTCAGTTTAAGGAAAAACAAGCACGTCATTAAACGCAACATTTATAGAAATCGAACTTTACCTCATCCATGACAACTAATTTTTGATTCCCGTCTGACTGATTTATCCACGGTGGAGTGGAAAACAACAGTTCCCATCATTCCGCGTTCCTCCACGTCGTCATCAAGCAAAGCCGTTGTTGTTGTTTTGAATGTAGCGCCCTCTAGCGGCATCTAAATCTTAGGTATTGTAGCTTTAATCTTGGAACATGTAGAGGTATGCAGAAGTGATCACAGTTGTGTAGTAGAAAATATCATTTGTGTCCCTTTAATGTGGACTCTGTCTTCAGTGTGACATTGAAAATGTCCTCACTGTTTAACTAAATTAAATCGGTCTAAATAATATTTTATTTATGATGTAGTTGTCAAAGCTATTTCAGGCCATCTATCCAAAAATAGTTGAGCTGCAGGACCGGTGGCTGCTTTACAAAGCAGGAGGTAATGTACAATACATAACTTGACACTTCAATTAGGTAAAATAGGTAATGCAACAGAGAATGGTAACACACATCTGGGTCCTCAACTCCCTCATTACCTCTCCTTCAACTCGTCACTGTAGTTGATGTGTGGTGAGCGCTCATCCAGGTGAGAGCTACACATTGGTTGTGATGCGCCACCCCTCTCATCTCGAGCACTTCAAACTTCTAATTTATGGAACAGCATACAAATGCTATATTATTTGTTATTCCACATATTCATTTTTTTCAATCATGTTAAATTTTACCAGGTGGAAATGGGAGGAAAAAAATGTCCGCTATCCCCTTGGAGGCTGAGGGCTACACTAGTGCTATGCTCTGGAAAGTTTCAGGTGGTGGGAAAGGCACTCTTTAGATAATGCCTCTTCAGGATGTGTTGGACCTCTCACCACTCCCAGCAAATGCTCCAGAGTTTGGTTTGATGCCCAAGGCCAGTTGCAAGGACTGTTTTGGTCCTGTTCTCCAGATGTTGACTCTACATGACTGTAAATGTCCTAGCCAGACCAGCTCAGACCTGAAGGTGAACTTTTTTTTCTAGATTTTGGGATATTAAATGTATAAAATTAACTGTGTGTGAATGTCTCAAACTTGAAATGTGGTTTTGGATGAAAACTTCAAGGTCCAAAAGACACAGTAAACGTTTATTTCAGTAAAAACTGCAAACTGTTCAAAGGGCTTTAAACGATTTCAGACGATGAATAAGGGTCTTATCAAGCGAAACGATTGCTCATTTAATTAACAAATAACAAAGTTTTAGTTTTTTAAGCTCAAATGCTCGCCTTGCTCTGTTCTGTGACGCACGTTTGTAACTCTCTTGTTCGAACTCATTCATCAAAATGAACGAATCTTTTTCCGAGTCATTTGGTTCATTCAATGAACGAAACAAACAAATTGACTCGGAAAAAGATTGTGTGCATGTGGAGAAAAATGCTGGAATGTTTTGGAACTTATGGCTGAGAATCAGTACCAATAATAAAACCTGTTTTGACCCAGTTCAGGGCCAGTTAAGGGTGATTAACTGGCTGAGATTCGGGCCAGTTAAGGTCCATGTGCAACCCTTGTCTTTAATCCAGTTCTGGGCCACTTCAGGGCCGCCATTCTTTGCGGTACTTGGGCCGAGGGAAAAGTGATTGTGTGGGCCGGAGCTGGGCCAGAAAAAATTTGCTATGTGGGAAGGTGGGAACTTCCAGGTTATAAAACCTGACAAAGGTGGACGGGGAGGACCAGCCAGCGGTCACACATATGTCGTGAATGGAAATTGTCATGGAATTCAATGAAAATCTCAATGAAATTCTCGTGGAGTGACCCTGATGCCCAGAGGGCACTGCAGACCTTTTGCCGTGTAAACTGCTATTGTGTCTATTATCCACCTAGACAGGCTTTGTTTCGAGGCAGCGAGACCTTTGGTGCGACCTCCATATGAAACGAAAAGCTGCAAAGAACGCCTGAATGGGGCGGATCTCGTAATGTAAAGTCTCAGATCCCTGACCGGGCAGAGGAGATTAACATCACTCTCACTATCAGATGCTGGCAGAGCCGATAGGGAAATGACCTGTGCTCAACGGGGTGAGTCATTTGGGCCAAACTCAAGACACGCAGCGCTAACAGATGTAAATGGCGTTTAAATCCCCCACCCGTTTGACTGATGACAAGGCAATCAGAAAAATGGTTTTATCATATCAATAAATAGTTAAAAAAATAATATATTGTTTGTTTTTTAGATTATGTCTCTCACAGTGGACATGCACCTACGATGACAATTTCAGACCCCTCCATGATTTCTAAGTGGGAGAACTTGCAAAATAGCAGGGTGTTCAATTACTTATTTTCCTCACTGTAGATTGTTTGGAAATATTTCTAGAGAAACCCAGTAGATTGCTAGCCAGTGCTCATTGTTACTCATCATACAAATCACACCACACAATGAAATATTTAATCGAATTTGCCCTCAATTCGTTTCATCTCCACTGGATGGGGAGGTCAGTCGCACACGTGACAAGTTCATCACAGAACAAAGAAACTTATATCTCATTTGCTCCCAGGAGACGTAGTTTTAGCAGACAGAGGTTTCCTGGTTAAAGAGTCCATTCAGAGATCCCAAGCTGAAGGAAAGATTCCAGCATTTACTCGTGGAAAGAAGCAATTAGATCCTGTTGACTTGGAGAACACCAGATGTCTAGCCTCTCTTAGGATACACACACATTGAAAGAGTAATAGGAGATCTCCGTCAAAAGTACAGTCTTGCAAAGCGCTGTCTCCATATGTTTCACGGACATAGACAGAGAAAATGATGTGACAACCTTGACAAGCTTGTGAGCATGTGTTGTGCACTTACAAATACGTCTGAATCTGTGGTTCCAGTGATGGGGATGTACAGTAAAGTGAACTGATGTGACTGGCTACAGATGCGCTCAACCAGAAAATAAACCTTTGTGACTCTCACTTCTTGCTTCATTGTTGTGACATTACCTCTAAATAAATAATTAAAATGAACTTCTAATTAAATCTTTGTGACTCTCATTACTTTTGATCATTTTGATCACTCGCTATTCGGATGCGATCACAGTCGATCACAGATCACAGTGTATATTCATAACAATAAAACAACACCTGTCTCATTTTTATTCTGCTTCTGTTGATTGTTTGTGTACATCACTAGCCAACGGCGGGAAAAAACGGCGGTAATATTCAGGTAACTTAAAATTGACCTGCCTCTCTCTGCTTCCCGCTCCTTCCGCGAATGCCGAAATGAATTATAGGATATTTCTGCGTCAAGTTCACACAAGTTACCAACCGATGCATCCTGGGTAAAATGGGAGTGTCAAGAACACATCCGGGATTTTTAACCGATCTTGCCGAAATGCAAACTTGTGTATTGGGACAGTACTTGGGCCGCGACTGATGACGTTTCACAAGTCCACAAGAACACAAGTACAGACAAGAAGGCATATTGAGAAACGGCCTAGATGTCTCGTCCACTCTGCTGGCCAATGGGGGGTCAATGTACACATCTGGCTGCCATATTGCCACAGTCACCTCGTAACGTTGTGTTTTAATGGTGCATCTACTTTCTAAATAACCATAACTTGCTCAATTTTCTACCGATTTTCAAACGATTTGGTTTGTTATTAACGTCAGAGATGTAGTTATGACACTACATGCTTATGAATAATTATAACCATGGACTTCCAAATGAAAATAACATTGAATAAAACAGGTGCAATAAATATACACGCACAAGGTATTTGTTATTTATGTTAAATCAATATACAGGCTACTAAAAATCTTTTACTAAAACTAACACTTTTTTAATATGAATATTACTATTATAATAAAAAAAATAGAAAAATTACATGTTTATTTTAAATTCTTCAGGGTTGGGACGTTTTCTAGGCTCGATTGTGGTCTCAGCCGTGATAATTTGCTCAAGTAGCCGTGATAGATTTCAGCAAGATAAGAGTTTTTTGTGTCCGTGCAGATCACTCACCTTACATCAGGAACCACAGAGCCCGCCAAAAAGCTTGCCTGTGACAAGATGGCCACCAGTGATGACGTTAGAGACTCCGCTGTAAGACATCTAGCGTTTATTGTATATCTATGCCTAAACCTGTTGTTCACTGTATCTGATCTGATCTTTGATCCAGGAAACATGTCTACAGATGTCAATTTTGCACAATGCTTACCAAAATTTAATTTATGTGGCCATTTATGTGTTTAATCCACAATCCATCGAGACCAGCAAGAGATTCTGAGAACGACGCGCGCGGACTGACAACAAGCGTTACTGAGTTTAAAATACTGATAAATTCTCTTCTTAGTGGACAAGACTGCAAGTAAGTTTATTACATTCTCCATTACAGTCATTTGTAATTATTAGGAACTTCATATTGTATATTAAGAGAGATGTAAATGTGAAGTTACAGAAGGCTGTTATTTATTTGCTACTCAACTAAAGGTTTATGGAAAACAAATTTAAAAACAAGTTTTTGAATATTTTCTCCAATTTTTTTTTCATAAGCTGTTGTTTTTGTGATGTAAAATCGATTGTATTTTTGAAGCAGACATTTACAGTAGACAGACAGAAAAAGCCTAACGTCAATCAACAACAATCTGCTGTTATTAAACTCAATATTTCAATTCATATATAACAATTGTGATTAGTAGTGTGTGTGTGTGTGTGTATCGAACTGTTGCCTACCAGTGGCAACGACAACTTTGATGCGATGACTTGTGATGACAAATTAAACAGCTGAGAAACAACTTAAAATCATATTTTTCTATTTCTATTTTTCTATTAAAAAAAAATGTATATTACAATTAGTGTACTATTAGATGCTCACATGGAGAAAAGGGTTTCAAATGAGGCAAATTAGAGTAATTTTGTGGCCAAAAAAATATAATAATTTCCATTTGTAATGCCATGGTTTACACACTAGGTGCCTGTATGGCTCTTTAATAAATAAACATGTCTCTACTAGTCTAGTTACTCCAAAGAGTATTGCAGGTCATAACTGCTTACCGTACTTATTTTTAGATTTTTCATTTGAATAAATATTTAGACATGATCAAACACTAGATTTTTCAAATTATACTTTTAAAAAGTTAATAATTAACAGTCAACTGCTCGCTATAGAGTTTCCTTTATTGTGTGTGTGTTCAAGAGAAGTGTGTTTGTTATATCTTATGCTTTTATGATTCTAACATCTCGTTTCTTGTCTTTAGCGTGAGAATTTGAGTTTTTAGCTGTTACTGGTTCATTCTATTAGTCTATAACTGCGTCATCTTCAGAAGTGATCTTCTGGAGCCAATCCAACGTTTGTGTATCGTATTATGTTTAGATTATTACCTATTTAATCAGCATATAGTACTGTGTTTCACATGAATATGTTCAGACAGTATTCTTATAATCAAACACAACAGCACAGGGCAAGAAAGAGTCTTGAGACAAACAAGTTCTTTCTTAAATTGAACAGAAAGTCCACACTTGAGGCGTAGGAACTACTTGCTAGTTATTAACTAACTCTGGACTTTGTTCCGTAGCAGCATTTGTTCTTAAAGGGTTAGTTCACCCAAAAATGAAAATTAAGTCATTAATTACTCACCCCCATGCTGTACCAACCCCGTAAGACCTTCGTTCGTCTTCGGAACACAAATGAAGATATTTTTGATTAAATTTGAGAGCTGTATAACTACCACATTGGCTCCTAAGGGACTGCCTCTTGACGGCCCAGAAAGTCAATGAAGAAAATGTTTAAATATCCCAAGTGACTACCGTGGCTCAACTATATGTTTATCAAGCGATGCGAATACTTTTTGTGCGAAAAAACAAGCAAAAATAATGAGTTTATTCGACTATTTCTTTTCTTCCTTGTAGGCCAGAAACGATCTGATCGCAATTCTCGCGCATGCGTCATGGAAATCTAAAGAAGTCTCGTTTCTGGCCTACAAGGAAGAAAAGAAATAGTCGAATAAACTCGTTATTTTTGTTTGTTTTTTCGCACAAAAAGTATTCGCGTCGCTTGATAAACATATAGTTGAGCCACGGTAGTCACTTGGGATATTTAAACATTTTCTTCATTGACTTTCTGGGCTGTCAAGAGGCAGTCCCTTAGGCAGCCAATGTGGTAGTTATACAGCTCTCAAATTTAATCAAAAATATCTTCATTTGTGTTCCGAAGACGAACGAAGGTCTTACGGGGTTGGTACAGCATGGGGGTGAGTAATTAATGACTTAATTTTTATTTTTGGGTGAACTAACCCTTTAATGCAGAAAGTGGCTAATAGGTCGTAAGATATTTTCTAAAGAAACAGGGACAATACATTTTGTTGGTTAATTGTTGTGGGTTCCCAATATTATTATTAACATCTATAATGATTATGATTTAGTTTTATTATTAGGATTTATGTTTTGGTTTTAATACAATTCACCGCACTGTCACAGGGTAGTGTAGGAGTGCAGGCTGAAGAAGACGACCGGAGAGGCAAAGGCTCAAATTCAATTACTTTACTAAACTTCCAACAACAAACAGGAGCAGGAACAGGCAGGAAAACTCTCCAAACACATTGTAACATATACAACGATCGACCAGGACTGAATGGAACAGAGGGAACGCATACACAGATGAATCAAACATTACGAGGTGGAAAACAGGTGAAACAGATAAAACAAGACGCTGAACGGGAGGCTGATGAGGGAGTGAGTTCAGGTGTGCAGACGAGAGGATCATGGGAAGTGTAGTGCAGGAGACGTAGACAGAACGGTGCAGACGAGACTGTGACATGCACAGGCAAAAAAATGAAAAATAAATAAAAATGAAAATCGCACAATGAAATAGTTAATTATCCGTAGCAAGCAGTTCAAAACAATGTTATAAAATTATGACATTACTAAAACACATTACAAGAATAATATAACTTAAATAAATTATAAATACAGCTTTTTAACAAATATTTTATAATTGCATTTACTGGTCATATTTTCATTTTCACAAGATTACAAAAATTACAACTTTTTAAACTTTAAATGTTACGTTTGTGCTTGAAGATGACTCTTAATATCCATAAATGGGCTTGTTATTTTACATTATAAGCTTTTTATGTGTATTCTGCATATTTTTATATTTAGTTAAGGTGTGTTGAAATTAGTGTGTTGTGCAGAACTTTTGTGGACGTTTAAAATGTGAGGCGCTGTTATAAAGCACATACTGTAAATGACCCTCGATCACAAAACAAGTCGCACCGGTGGCAATAGCCAACAATACATTGTATTGGTCAAAAATATAGATGTTTCTTTTATGCCAAAAATCCTTAGGATATTAAGTAGATTATGTTTCATGATGATATTTTGTAAGTTTCCTGAATGCAGGACAATTGCGAACATAAAAGCACAACTTTAAAGGAGATTTTCTCAATTTCTCTCTTTTTTTTTTTTGCAGATATTCAAATAGTCGTATCTCTATCAAATATTGTCCTATCCTAACAAACCATACATTTTTATAGCTTATTTATTCAGCTTTCATATGATGTATAAATTGAAACCATGTGACTTTTTTTGTGGTCTAGGGTCACATATAAACAGTGTTACTTAAAATTACACTTGAATGGGTAGTGTGTTAATACCTTGGAAGCTTTTCGAGCTTTTAATAAAATAATAATTTCATTCTAAATATTGTATTATAATGTTGTTTAATGTAAAAAATAAATAAATCATTATGATAAGTAGTTATACAGTATTTAATTCTCAAATTCTGGTTACTTTTACTTTAATCATTGTGAACTTGAAGTAATGATTAATTGACAAACGATTCAACAATTAATAAGATTGGGTAAATGTGATTATAAAATGATATTATACTGTAATAGAGAATAAATCAAATTGGGTTCACAGTTTTCCAGCACAGTGTACATTTCTGTCCCCAATGAATTCATATTTAGAGTCAGTTAAACTAATTAAACAATCAGAAATGATTAAGACTATTCGGTTATTTTACAAATATATTTGTTTGTAACTCACTTTATTTGATAGATTGTTTTTGCTGTTGCTGTTGTTGATGATAAGTCTTTATTGTTGATGTGTGTAAATGTTGTGATTTGCAGGTGATGCTGAAGGATTGAGTGTTTTCTGATCAGTTTTCAGGGTCAGTTTAGCTGCAGTATGTCAGAGGAAAGAGGAAAGGACTCTCTCTCTCAGATGAGTCTCTCAGAGAAACACAGGTGAGACTGCGTCTGTTTTCACACTCTCACTTTAAACTCCACTGGACTTTGTCTTTCCCTGTCAATAACACAACTTTGAGCATTGCTCTATATTTGCAACAACTTCAATTTTAACTTCTGAAATTAACTCTGTCATTGTCTATAAAGCCTTGTTTGCTCTGTAAAAAATATCACATTTAATAATTTGTTAATAACCTTCTAGACGCTGAATTAATCCAAAAATAACTTTAGATTTTAGATCATAAAATTATTGATAGACATTAGAAAACACACTTACACTTAATTCGCCTTTGGCTAAGCCACACCCTAGAATGTAGATTGACCAATCACAGCGCAGCCAAGAACGAGCTCCCACAGAGGTCGGACACTTTTTCACAGCGCTCCATTGACTTTCAACACAGGCGTCTCATATTTTTGGTCTCGGCAGGCTATTACCGTCGTAATTTTATCCAAAATATGGTTAAACGTTGTGCCTCGGGCATTTGTAACACAGATAGGCATTTCCCAGATAGGTTGGAGGGGGGTGTCCGTTTCTTCCCTTCCCAAAACCGAAGTCAAATCAATACAATACAATACAATACAATACAATATTTATTTATAGAGCACATTTAAAAACAGCTAGCTGACCAAAGTGCTGTACAAAGCAGAAAAAAAATAAATAAATAAATAAAATAATGCACAGGACAGTAAAAAATAATCAATTAACAATCAGGGAGAATTAAATCGTGACAAGTGTCGTCTTTGGATTAAACTGTGTGGATGTCTTCAGTCAGCTAAACCCCGCAAAGATCAACAAGCACATCTTTTTTACTTCTAACCTTACTGTGAGTGTGAAGTTATACTAGTTAGACCGTTTTATAATGTTTTAGGTTATGATTTCGGTTCTCATAGCGGTTGTTGATTTTGATACACTAGCACACGCTGCTAATAAATACAACGTTATACTCGTGTAGTCCGTTTGCTTTGTAATAACGTGACGCAATATTTATATTCTGCGAGTGAGATCTTGCCCCATATGGGCGTGGTGAAAACATGTGGAACACTGGCTGTAGTCTTTAGCCTCTGGACCAAAAATCCTCAGATGACGCAAAATGACGATTTTTGCATCATCGGAGGATTTTTTCCAGGCTAAAATTTAATTTTTCTCTCATATCAGGGGGATATGAGGGGGGAAGCACAGCAATTCAAAATACTACTGGTTTTCTTCTGATACAAAGCTTAATCCTAAATCCTTAAGTATCCCCTAAAAGTGTTTTCTCTCTCTCTCTCTCTCTCTCT